TGCTACTTCTTTCACGAAAAACCAGTGTAGTAAGCTGGCATGATTAATAAAGTCGAAGGCAGCTTTTAGGTCAGAGAAACCAACATAGTCAGTCGACTGCAGATGTGTCTCCGCTCTAACGCTCGTCGAAGAATAAAAACGTCGTCGAGGCAACCACGACCAGGGCGGAAGCCGGCTTGACTTTCAGTGATCCTGATCTCAGGATGACCAGTTAGTCATCGAAGAATCATACCCATGAGAAGTTTGGAGGTGATGGGAAGAAGACTAATGCATCGATGGTCTTCGCAAAATGTCCGTTGATCATTAATGAAAATGAGTACGATAGTTCACAGCGGTCAGTCTGAACCCACCTTTTCAGTGCAACACCTCGTGTTAATGTCACGGAGAGTAAAATCTCCCACAAAAAGCTTTTAATTCAATGGGAATCAATGGTCCACAACCGAAACATCAAGTCGTTAGGAATGTTTGCATCAGGAACGTCCGCGTCAATCCAACCTGCGCACCAATTTTCCCATTGGCTAGCGGAACCAATCCGGACAGCTGGCCGAGCTGTTCTGGTACATGGAACTACCTTCGTTGACTTATAAGTGTCGGTTTCACACTACTTGTTTCCGTTTCGCTAGCTGGTTCTGAACGACGCTTTTGCCTTCAAAGGTTGGCTTCTGAGTTCCGGCTGGGAATCGGAGCTAGCAGAGAAGGAGTTCGGTTCAAACGGAATCGCAGGCACAGTGGTGGATCGCAACAAATGGCGACTGGCAAACGTGATAATTCAATGAATTTCACTGTAGAACAATTTCAAATGCTGCTACAGCAACACCAGGCACAAATAGAGGTGCAAATGAAGCTCATTGAAATCTCGACGCAACGGCTCGGTCTGCAGTCTTCGGAAACAGCTTCGCGGGACGTGCAGACATGTTCCGTTGATCTCCTCACTAATTCTATTACTGAATTCAATTATGATCCCGACTCCGGAGACTTTCGGTGCGTGGTTCAGACGCTGGAAGGATATGCTCAGAACGGATTTAAGCCGTCAGGACGACTCCTGGAAATTGTTACTGCTGCTGCGTAAGCTTTGCACTAATGAACATTCAAGGTTCGTTGACCACATATTGCAAAAATAACCGTGAGATCTCAGTCTTACCGAAGCGGTCACAACTCAGCGAAGTTTTCAGTGAGTCGTTATCATTATTCAGCATTCGCTGTGTCTGAAAATGGTCAGGCGGGATAGAGGCGACCGTGGGGCGCTGGCAGACATGGTCAACCGTGAGTGTGAACGTTGCAAACTGCGCTATTTGACAGATGACCAATTCAAGTGTCTCATATTTATCGGCACCTTACAGCCCCCGCAGGAAGGTGAGAGCTGCACAAGACTATTCGCAAAGTTGGGTGAAAACTCGGACACGACGCTGAAATCCCTTGCGGCCGAACGTAAAAGATTGATGGCTCTGAAACATGATACCGCCATGATCGAGAAATCATCAACACGGGGAAAGGTTCCAAGCGAAGCAGTCCCGACAGTTCCGCTCGGAAGTCACAGAACAGACCGCCCATTGCCTGTTGATCATGCGGTGAGTGGCATTTCGCCCGATTCTGACCATGCAAGAAGCACATTTACCAAAATAGCCATAAACGAGGCCAGAAGAAAGAACTTTGCAAGCAGTCCCGACCAGTGAACATAAAGCTGTTCCGCCTCAAGCAGAAAGTCAAAATACCGTTGCAGACTCCCTGTCAGTTGTTGTCACTTTCCAGAGTGAGTTCAACCCTCACAGACGCTTCATTACCGTACTTATCAACGGTATTCCTTCCAGGTTGCAGTTTGACATGGCCTCTTATATGACTATCATTCCCAAGAGCATATGGAACCGCATCAAAAGACCGGAGGTTGCTGCCTTTGACCAAGTGGATCACAACGCCTCTGGCGGAGTGCTGAATCTGGTTGAAGAAAGCACATGTAAAATCGCAGATAACGGGGTGGAAAAGACCGTAACATGCTACCTGACAGACAGACCGAATCTAAATCTTCCTGAAATCAACTGGATCGAGAGGGTAGGACTCCATGAGGTCACCCTAAGCCAGATTTGTAACCGTTATAGTCTGAGGTCTCAAGCACCGATACAATCCCATCAGTTCCTGAGTCCTCGTACGGAGAAAATAACAGAAAATGGAGCAAGAATTCAATCGGCGGCATGGAGCAAAGCAACGTACATTCAAACCCGGAGATTCAGTGCTCGCATGCGGCGATCATAAAGGCCATGCAGCATGGACTGCAGATGAGATCAAATGTAGACGTGGAGATTTCATTTATGATATACTCATTGGATCGTAAACCTGGGTCCACCATGCTTATGCTACGCACAATGATGCTTCGGTCAGAGACGAGGAAGCCAATCGAACTACCTTTAGACCTCATCGTGGATCACTTCAACTTACGAAAGCAGACAGAGAGGGTGAGGTTAAACCGAACGATGCACCAGATAGTCCAGAGATAACTTCAAAGACACTTCAACCCAGGCGATGGACGGTCAGACAGAGAACACCATCTACAAGACTGCAAGCCAACCCAAGGTTAACATCCTACATCGCAGTGGCGATCTCAGGAGATATGTCAGGGAGAGTAAAATCTCACAGGAAAACCTATTAATCCAACGGGAAAACAAGTTGAACCAGTGGTCTACAACCGAAAAAGCAAGTCACTTCTGGAATGTTCGCATGTACACGACGTGTGCACCTCCCTTCCAATTCGCAGCGGCACTGATGTACGAATCAGGACAACTGACCCAGCTGTTCTGATAGGTGAAAAATCCTCGGATGACCTATAAATGTCCGCTGATTTCACACTAAATGTTTCCGTTTCGGTAGCTGGTTCCGCAACACGCTTTTGCCTCCAAGCGTTAACTTCTGATTTCCGGTTGGGATACGGAGTTAACGCAGAACGAATTCAGTTCAACCGGAATCGCAGGCAAAGAGGGAGGTCAAAAGAGACAAACAGAGCAGCAAATACGGTATGCAAAGAATCACCTCCACAATTCAGAAAAGATGAAAATAGTCGGGTCCAGGAGCCATGTTTCGATTAAGCACGGCGAGCTCAAGTCGAATACCTTCCAAGGTTGGAGGTAAGACATCAACATCCCACGTTGGCTCAAGTGATTCAGCGAACGGTAGTGTCATAGCAGACATGCTGAGCTGAACTTCGAAACGCTTCGCACAACGGGCTAATCGACGCAACTGGGAATAAATCACCTATCCACATTTCTCAGCCACTGTCTCACTAACTGATGGTTTTCTCAGACCTGTGTTCCAGATAAGCTGGAACAGCATCCGGCTCATCCAAATAGCACTGGCATTCTCTAACTCAAGGGGTCTTGCTACCCACCAACGTTCTAGGCCAATTCGAAGATTCGTTGTCAGTCGTCGTTTCAAGGCCTTACGGACAACACTGAAATGCAGTGCCCATTGGAATCTGTTTCAGTGCTTTGGTAGAACTGATCGATGCCTCAGATATCTATTCACAGTTAGGACGTCTTAGGTTGAACGAACAGCAGACAGCAAAAGCACTCATCATGGCACGACTGAGACGTTCGCGGTCAGCGTTTGGTTCACCAATCTCACTCATTACTGACAACTAGCGGGCCAGTTCGTCACATGTAAGTAGCCTAAACTTGAGCATACCTAAACCCGGCTACATTTTGGTGCGAATAAAGGCCAATTCTTATTGCATACGATGTTTTTTACCCCGAGACAGTGTGTTATATATTACTCGTATTACCCTGGTGACACACTGGTCGCCAAGTGGAAAGCGAGGCAATCGATTGGTTCTGTGCGAGGTCGTTTGAATTTGGGAAGCACTGTGTCTCTCATCAGCTTCAGAGATTCGTGTGATGCATTATATACATCTGTACAAACGGCTTTAAGCATAATGTATAAGGAGGGCACTGTGAGTCCTAGACAAATATGCATAAGCCCATTGCTACAAAACAAACTGCGTAAGTGAATCTGTGATGAAGAGAGGCAAGAAAACTGTATCCCTCCGAAAAGCAGGAACAAGACAACTGAAAAAATAAAATAACATCACCCCGATGGTGGGGTAGGTGCTGCATAAATAGGATCACAAGTATGGTTAGTAGAAACTAGAGCCTCGACAGTAGACGCTTCCGGGGCTTTATGACTAAGGACATATGTTTGTAGGTGGAGCTTCCGATAAATACAAACATCGCGTTTGTTAGATCATTGAGTGCTGAGCTGGCAAACGACCGCACATGGCCGCGTAGTGACTAATCGAGATATCAGCCGCTGGGATCGAATAGGTGGATTCTAGCATGAGGACTCCAATGAGATGGTGCCAGTGGAGCAGCATCCGAAAAATTCACTAAGTCGGCTTGCCTGTTGTAGGTATTTGTTAGCTTTGTACGGCCACCCATTGGACACTGAACTTGCGTGTCCTTGAGAGGCAGGGGTGATGGAACTGAGTGATCACAGATATAGTAGATCGAGCACTACAACAGAACACGGACACCTTCTATGTCGTAGCTATAAACAAAGCGAAATAGTTAGACCCAACAAGGGTAATGTTGTCACATGGTTGTTGCTCAAAGAATCAAAAAACAGAGAGAGCGACAAGGATGCGGATTTTGAGCGGTTCTCTGAGCTTAGTGATTATTGGGCAGATGTTTCGTTGCTTGACTAGGCGACATCATCAATAAGCACTTGGACATTGAAATTGCTTATGAGGCACTGCGAACCAGGCCCCTGAAACCGCATTGATGATGTTGCCTAGTCAGGCAACGAAACGTCTGCACAATAATCACTCAGCTCGGAGAACCGCTCAAAATCAGCATCCACACCCCGAGCTACGGATATTCTCATTTATTTCTGAGCGACAAGGAGTTAAGTACAAAGTTCTGATATGTGAAAAAGAGGTGATTATAGCAGGGGTAACACGTTGGTTAAAACAACGAAATAGGCAGATAAAAAAATGAGCACTTCGAAAAGTGCTGACTCACTTTCACAATGATGGTGAAAGGGAATGCAGACGAGTCCCGCGTAACCGGCTCAGAGGGCAGTCGGATGGCATCCTCACTTATAATGATACCCTACACAAAAGATAATTATGATGGCCTATAAAGTACATGGTGAACTGCTTACACACTTGCGAAAAGCTACCCTGATGTGGGTTTTATTCAGCGTCCAATCGCGCGCGGGATTCATTGGAACGTATAACGTCATCCTTTCTAGACGTTTACCCAACTCGTAGGCGTCCCCAAACAAAACCGGCGAACGATCCTTATGAGGAAGATTATGGGAAAGAGAACCGTTCAGCTTACTTTAATCATATTCTGGAAGTGGGAGATACGCTGCGGAGTGGGCAGCTCTGCAAGCCTTAGGGGGTACAAATAACGCCAAAAACGATTTCGATGAACATTCACGAGCGTACCCATTGCACCGAGACCTTGAAGAAAGATAGACAATAACAAAAGACGAGCAATTCGTGTTAGAGTAGACTCGGTGAAATGCATAAGTATGATGTTAGTCGGAAAAGGAGAAATCGTCGCGCTCGTAGATTGTATCGTTCATGGAAAACCAAGGGAACTGTCGGTGGTCAGAGTTCAAGGGCATTAACCGCCTTGTGTTCAAATGAGGCACAAGATTAAACGGCCTATCACCTGGTAGTGTAAAAACAGCGATCAGTACCTGATCTCATCACACTGATGGCCAATCAAAATATACATGGAGAATAAGACAAGCACCAAAACTACACCGAAGACGCGAAATGGCTTTCGATAATTTTTCAAAATTAGTCAGGGTAATCGAAGCGACAAGATAGCCAAAAAGACAAGCAAGGAACGTAGTCTCATATTACGGTCTCATGTCGAGGCAGTCAGTCGATGGGTATGTCAAGGACGTTAGCAGAACAAGGTGGATGGAAAAGTTCAACTGGCAGTCACAGATCCACCCATCATCGATGGACCCCGTGTCGAGAACCCACTCGTTCCACTTGATATGAACGATGTCACGCAACCTCCGGTAGCAATGGACGCATTGCAGTGCCGCATACACCAGCTTTGACCGGCAGGTCTGTGCTTCGCTGTCCCTGCGATGGGCGACATCTCAGATCTTACGAAACCGCGCATTAACCTCCTTGGTGACTTCAAAAGAACGGGTGCTACGGGTGACCAAATAAGCGAGAAATTTACCACCTATAGCGATGTTCGGAAAAAATGAGTGGTGGCGCGTCGGCCTGGTCATACAACAACAACAACAACAACAGCAGCAGCAACAACAACAACAACAACGAAAACAAAGTATGTAACGTCACTCTATTAAGAAACCATGGGGAAGCGGCCAAATATTGCCAAAAACAACGCAGTCCGAAACAGCCAAATCTCTCAGTCAACAACCTGGATGAATTGCTACACTAGCGGAAGCAAATAAGTGATATTTACGAGCATTTCGATCGCCAGGTTAAAAGCGAAGTGAAAAGCCCAGTCGCTCTAACTTCCACACCATCATCCATACATGTCAACTAATGGTGATACACACCTCTACTAATATGCCACAATACAAAAAAGTTAGAGCTTAAACAGTACAGACTAAAATAGCTATAAAAAGGTAACAATGCTAAATATCACATTATACATCGAGTTTGAGACCGCTGCTAGATGACAAAGCTAAAGGGGTGTTGTGGGACAAAGAGACTCATAATGAATGCCATTGAGATCGGATCATCACCATGTCAGCTAGTGTATCCAACCAAAAGTGTTCATCGTCTTCCGGATCCCAGCCCGACAGTCGGGAAACATCAATGGACGCCAAGTTCGAAGTGTGGGCTTTCATTCTTCTTGACCAAGTCATCCCTTGGACTTCCCTCCTCTTCTTCCATCCAGATCCCGGTCGCGCAAACAACGCATGATGCGGAAGTCGGTGTGCTGGCATGTGCAACACGTGGCCTAGCCATCGGAGCTTAGTGCGTGATATAATAGTGCTGAGCGGTTCACTCGCTCTTCCTGCACCAAATACGCGACGTCAAACACGCGCATTGCTCACGCGGTGTTCCCACCAGACATAAGCCAAGCTTCGAAGGCGGCGATGATCGAATATAACAAACCTCTTTAAGTCTGTCAATTTGGTGGGCCGGGTTTCACAGCCGTAAAGGAGAGTTGAACGGACAGCTGCATTGTAAACACTGCCATTCAGAGAGAGAGAGAGAGAGAGAGAGCAATGTCACGCCGGCGTCACAAGTGACGGAGCTTGGCTAAAGCGCCTAGACCTTTTGCTATACGGTTTCCTAATCTCGTCTTCCATCCCAAGGGCGCTAATATAGCTACCGAGGTAGTTTAAGTGCTGCACGACATCTCGCTGATCACAATCAGAAGTCGGCGCGAGGGCGGGTCCCTCTCAATCCTGGGGAAGGGCTTTGCATTCCGAGAGTGCAAAACATAGCCCGAAACGACTGATAGCCAGAGCCAATTTATCCAGTGCAGATTGGCATGTTTGGGAGCAGTCAAAAATGAGCGCGATGCAGTCAACATACTTCAAGTCAAGAAGTCAGTCACCTGAGAGCAGCTCTACACTTTGAAGGTCGTGCCTAGCGAACGTCGTTTCAATGTCTTCCCCAATGGTAAAGTTAAAAAGGAAATGTGACAGAAAATTCTGACTGACTGAACTGTTTTCCTAGTGTAACTATACATGACAAGAGTGGAGAGTCTATCCACAATTTGTCAAAACACATAGAGCATTGAGCTGAACACTTTAAAGAGTAATTTAATCGGCCGGGATTGTTCGATTCCTCACCGGCCACTGATCGCTCTGCTCCCTCGGCTGTCCCTTTGGATCCGCCCTCTCGCTCATAAGTCAAACGTGAGATCGGACTGCTGAAGTTGACTAAAGCCGCGGGACCAGATGATTTTCCTCCTGCTCTCTTCAAATTCCGGCGCCGTGCTCTTGTTTATGATGTACACAAATTATATGTGAAACTGTGGGAGCAGGAATCTGTCCCAACCGACTGGACTGGAACAGGACTACAGTGGGCCGCCAATATGTGTGACGGCGCTCCAACAACTGACGCAAGGTGAAGATGTGGTCGATGCATCCACGACCCCGACAAAACCCGGCTTGCTCCTCACGAATCTGGCTTTCACGAGAGCCAGTCAGTCTGTGAAGAATTATGGGGGCGAGTAATTTGGAGGCGATGGAGATCAGACTGATTCCTCTATGGTTGCCGCATTCCGAACGCCAGCCTCCTTTGAAGATGGAAACAATAACGGAGCGGCTCCAGTCGGTTGGGACAGATTTCTGCTCCCACAGTTTCACTAGTAATTCATGTAAAGCATCAACAAGAGTAGAGGCCCCGAATTTGAAGAGGGCTGGAGGAAGATCATCTGGTCCCGCGGCTTTGTTCAACTTCAACAGTCCGATCTCACGTTAGACTTCTGATCGAGAAGGCGGATCCAAAGGGACAGCCCACGGAGTAGGGCGATCAGTGACCGGCGAAGAATCGAACAATTCTAGTCGATTAAATTGCTTTTCAAAATGCTCAGCCCAACGCTTCAAACGCTTTAACAAATTGTGGATAGGCTGTCCACTCTCATCACAAATTGTTTCACTAACACCAGGTCCCCTGCTGCCCGTTTCCCGTATCAGACGGAATAACTTACGATGGTTGCCAAGGGCAGCGGCCACTTCCATCTCTGACGCACGATGAGACCACCAAGATTCGCGGTCTCTCTTCAGGCTAGAACGGAGTTTTGCCCGCACCTCTTTGCGAGTTTCATTGTGTTCGCTTCCATCCGGAATATGCCGGCGTGCATCGATAAGTTCCAGAGACCGCGAAGAGACCAAATATCCATGTTGGCTATTAGACATACCACATGAGGATTTGCCTGCTGCTATTAAGGTCTGGTGAACACGCCACCAGTGACCATCAATTGTCTCCTGTGAGCGCTTACTCAACTCGCATGTCAGGGTACTTCGATACGCATTCAGAACAGGTGGCTTTGTCAGTTGGCTGGTGTCAATGCGCTCACAGCGTCGTCGTGGGCGCCAGCCAAAACGCATCCGCAGGTCAGCACATACAAGTGCACGGTCGGGGTCCACACATGTGCTCCAAATCGAGCGACAGTTCTGGATGCAGTCTCTCCAGCGGTAACTGATAGCAATGTGATCGATCTGCATCCAAGGCTGGTGGGCGCCAAGTCACCGTCCGGTGGGTGCTGTGTCGGAAGTTAGTGCTCGCAAGAAATAAGCGGCATCTTCACACAAATGAAGCAACCACTCACCGTTATCATTACGGGAGCCTACACCGTGCTGACCGCCCAGATGCATTTTATCAGTGGGCAACTTTCCAACTTGTGCGTGCGGATCCATGGCCAGCACAACAGTGTCCGTGCTTCTGCTGTGGCGAAGGAGTTGGGTCAGTTGGCGGTAGAACTCGTTCTTTACCGGATAATCGCTACAGTTTGTGGGCGCGTAGGCAGCGATGATGAATAGACACCTATTAGTCCCGCGCGACTTCTAAGCTTTAAACGAGCAAGCCAATCGGACCGCACATATCCGGCTAGTGATTGGAATCCAATCAACCAGAGCAGTTTCAGCCCGGGGACTCAGGGCAATGCCAACACCAGCTTGGCCGGTGCTCGAAGCTGCATCGTCACCGGATAGGCGCAATGAGAAACTACTGCTTGCGTCACCTGAAGGGGATCGCAGAGTGAGCACAGAGCTCGAGTCTTGCAGGCAGATCTCTGATAAGCAGCAGATATCGATCGAGAGGGTCTCCAATGTTCGGCAAATGCTGCCTGTTGACCGATCTGTACTAGTGTGCGTACATTGAGGCATGCCAATCTGAAGGAAAATCGAGGACTTCAAATGGAAGCCGATGAACCGGAATGGACCGCTTGGTTGGACATGGGCTTGTCAACAGGAGAGGAGTGATGCTCCGCGTTAGCATGTGAGTTGAAATTAGAAGATAAATGCCTAGCAAAGCATGTTGGGGGAGGGCAAGGAATTGGGGGTTGAAAACTGGGGGGGGATATAAGTGGAGTCGGAACGGGACGGTAAGAGTGAAAAAGCGTAAGAGGGTGAATAAGAAGACGGGAAGGTTTGAGCAGTAACATCCAAACCCCCATCGACCCTGCACGATTCAGCAGATAGGGCACCTTTGCTTATCCTCTGCGGTGGGCAGAGCATCAAGAAATTGTTTGACGAATGATTCATAGTGGAGCGGACTATGGTCCAGCCACCACCTTGTGTGTGCGCTTGATACCCAAATACAGCGTGCTTGTTTGCCTGTGAAGGAGTGTGGGCCGGCTCCGTTGATGAAACGTGGCTCCCATCCACATGCCTCCCGGTCTTATTCCTTCGGGCTTACACTGGATATGGGGTGTGTGGTTGGAGCTGTGGGTGGTGCAGCGCAAGCCACCCATGGTCTCCCAGTAGGCGCAGGTGTCTTGTGGCTGGTCACAGTGACAGGTAAATCCGAAACGGGATGCCGACAAGCATGTTAGGGCATACCAATCGGAGAGAGGATCGAAGGCTCCAAATGGAAGCTGATGAGCTGGATTTGACAGCTTGATTGGACATGGAGTTAGCGACAGGGCAGGACTAACGCTCCGTGTTTGCATGTGAGTTGAAATTAGAAGATAAACGCCTGTCAAAGCAAGGTGAGGGAGAGCCAAGAATTGGGGGGATAAAAGTGACGTTGGAACAGGATAATGGGGTGAAAAAGCGTAAGGGAGAGAATAGGAAGACGAGAGAGCATGCAGACCACTATCCACCCTGCTCGATGCAGCAGATAGGGCGCCATTTACTATCCTATGTGACGGCCAGAGCGTCAAGAAATCACGTAGAGTGAAGTGCATAGTTGTAATGCGCGGGCAGGAGGCGGTCGGGTTGTCCAGGCCTAGACAGGAGAACGATTAGGGTTCCTAACCAAAGCCTTTGGTTCAGATACCAGACCACAATGCAGAGGGTTTGACAGTGAATTACAAGAAGTCCGTTTTAAGAAATGAAAAGCCACCCTGACTCCAACCTCTAACCTGAAGGATCAGGAGGCTGAGTTTATCTGACCTCTACCCATTGACCAATCGCATACGAGGGACTCTGAAGATACGGAAAGCATCACCCAGAGCAGCTCAATGGATCACTGAGGCACACAAACCATCGGAACAAGGCAAGATACAGCTTCATTGCAATGGGCGTAAGTGCCACACGATCACTACCAATGGCGTGTGAGTTAGGGATACTGTGAAGTCGTTTGCGGCTATGCAAGCTCGAACCAATGACCTTTACAGTAAAAGTCATAAGCGCTAACCACTTAGCCACCGCCCTTGATGGATTTCGCATAGCGTCTTGTGGACATTCACAAAGACTGAAATAACTACGGATAGCCAACAGTCTGAGCATAATTCCTCAATGCGGTAAAGGGTTAGAAATGTATTCATGTCTGGTAAAATAGGTTGCCTAAATGTACACGTATCATATCATAATCATTTTATGTGCAACCTAGGGTAGAGTAACACCTCAACTATCGTGCTGTAATACAAAGTAATTTGACGGCAGCAAAAAAGAGAAGTAACAACCAATAGAGATGGTGGTTGTTAAAGACTAAGCAGGAAAGAGAAAGGACGAAGAACCTCACAAAATAAACATCACTGAGGCTGCCGTAACCCGGCAGGGTCCGAGGAAGGCGCACCACTAACGAGACCCAGAAGGTCGAAACAGCGCTGATGCTTTTCCATACGTGTCAAAGCTTGCTGACTGAGAGGGGACTGCGACGAATTACCTCTGATATGTTAACAAGTGTCTCAAGCCAACCCTGTGTATCGTCTTATAGACCCCAACGATGCAGATGGGAGGCCCAAACCAAAACCAAGTTCGAAGTGAGCCTTGATTCATCTTGGCCAATTCATAGGCTGATGCCCAGTCCTCTTCTTCCATCCACAACTCGGTCGCGTAAATAACGCACACGGTGGGAGTCTGAGTGCTTACATACACAACACAAGGTTATTGAAGCCTGGTGTGCGAAATAACGCTGCTGAGTAGTTTACTTGCTCTTCCTGCGCCAAAAACAAGATGGAGAGCGCACAACAGACTCTAGCTTACATTCCCGCTCAATACTGTGCCTAACACTTACAATGACTAACTTCCATGATACCGAATGAGCGCTTTTATGGCAAGTATCAAACTAAAAACTGGCAAGTGTTAATTTAGTAAATGTAACATTGCGTTTGACTCACCAGGGACATCCGCTGCCAGCAAAACTTTAAGCGAGTTATTTTCGACACATTCCGCATTGGTTGCTTCATACACTTGATGTTTGACTGGTAGATTGGAAACGACTCCCTCCGACCATGTCAACGATGGGCTGGATAAGGGATACTTACGCTTTAAGGTGACGAAAAACTTATATGGTAATCGAATAGAAGGATAAACTCACTCGCCGTAAGAGAAAAGGATTCAATAGTTGAGGAGGAGTATGTTTTATGCAAAGCATCTACATATGAGTCGCTGAAAGGTAAACGTATATATGTGAGAAGGATGTGAGCTGATCATCAAGGCTGGAAGCAGGTCTTAAGTAAACAACAAAACCGAATGCACTGTTTGGTGGTGATCGTATGACCGTATGAGTAGTTTGAGGAAGCATACAGCAGTGCAGCGAGGCTTGGTGCATTGCTGACACCCAAATAATGTAATCGACAAGCTTCTCGGATGATTCACGTGAATTCGTAGTTGATAAATAATAAACGCCCAGAAAGCTGGTCTGCAGACATGCGTAACTTAGGACCTAACTATAAACATGGTCGAGCACAAACGAAATCTTAATGCAGAATCGAATGGTATGTAAGGAAATAACGTAGGAAATAACAGGCTACGGATCATAAGTTCACAGCTAGATTGGCGTAGAGTACCAGTGCCATGCAATTTCTCTGACGGTGTGAGAGCACTACCCGGCGCTCAATGGCTTGTTACGGCCAACCTCAAAGCAGACACTGGTCAAATGGGTGCAAACCCGACAACTTAGGTTGCCCGTTGCCACCGGCATGTAACACCACGATCGAAACATACGTAAAAAGAAAAAGAGGAAAAGGGTAGCAGTAGTGCGCCGATGAATTGTACAGACGTTTCGTTGCCACGCGACCATCCCGAGGGCTGGTCATACCGCAACATCAGCCGCAACTATGCAGATCCGAACCCGCGGTCTCCGGATTATAATGCAAACAGGTAACCCTTTGAGCCACAACGGAAACATATATGACTTTTTGAAACTCCCCAATACTGCGTTTGATAGGTCTCTGCAGTCTCTGCAGTGTCTGCTTCCACAGCAAGCAGTTACTATAACATGTAAGGAGAAGAGTTCAGGGCTTTGTGCCCCGGTCTGTTCCCGTGCACCAGTAATTTTCGCCACTAGTCTCATGCCTCAGTAGTGGCGTAGAATATATGCGCGCACTCTACCGTTTCAGTGCAGTACGCCGTTGTTGACCGCAGATGATAACGCGTGGTCAGACTCACATACGCTGCGCACAATTGGTCCGTGTCTGCGATCCATGACGCTCGCATGTAAGTCCTGCTCAGAAGCTTGAATAGCACCAGTATGCGCGCACGAGCACGTACAAGGATGTATGCGCATCGCCAACCTCATAAGTTGATGAAAATTGGACGCTCAATGAGTTGCAAGTTGAATGTGTTGCAAGCAAGCTTGACTGTATTCTGGGGGAAGTTTATTGCACAACGAAGGAATACGAACAACCTATGAGGTCAATCAACCGGGAAGTGTAGAGACCCACCAACTATTCAGTATGGTCAACATGACAAGAAAAAGACTCGAATGGTTTTGGATCGTGTATGTGGGATGATTGCGAAGGACATTCGATTCATTTAGCTCGTCCGTTAGCGATAGTTTATGATATAAGTCGGGTTGCTATGGTTCCTTCTCGGATCAAGAAAACAGCTGACGAGCACTGAGACGAGGTGCAAGTAGACAAACATAGTGGCACACGAAGTCAGATCAAGCGCGTCAAACCGGGAGGCACACCTGAGCTAGCGGGTACTAGCCACGATATATCCAAACGAAGTGCAGGTTAGCCTACTCTCTGTGGTTACTGTGCAGCACAATACGCGCGCCAAACGGTGACTGAAAGGATTGCACACCTGCGTTGTGATCTTGAGGTCCACTTTTCGAATCCGCGTACGAGCGGGTGACTTTGTGGTATACCTAACAATAGCGCGATTCCTCGAGGTCGCGTGGCAAAAAAGCGTCCGTAGGATTAGTCGGTGCACTGTCGATATTTTCCTTACTTCTTTTACGCGCCTCTGCGCTTGAAAGTAGGATGGCACAAAGTGTCATCAGTGTAAATTTGAAGAAAACATCACATTATACACGTTAGCAAGAGGTGGAAAACACCTTAGCCATTGTGTCGTAATAAAGTAGAAGAAAAACTTGCAACAGGGACATCAACCGTAACCAGTAACGGATGGACATCATTCCGGAGAGCTACCAGCCAACTATGGTGTCATAAAGAAGGTACTGTTATCCATAGGAAATGAGATCGTGGTAGGGGTGAGAGGCTAAGCAGGAGGGACAAAGAAACAACAAAAACGCCAATGACTTCGGCGCCTAGCCATGTCAACAAGTGCATCCAACCAAAAGTGATCATCGTCTTCCGGACCGCAAGCAGGGAGCCGAGAGGTTACAACTGAGGCCAACTGCGAACTAAAGGCCTTCATTCCTCTGGACCAAGTAATCGGTGGGCCACCCCTCCACTTCCATCCACACCCCAGGCGCGAAAACAACGCAAGTCGCGAGGGATGGTGGGCTGGCATGTGCAACACGTGGCCCAGCCATCGGAGCCTAGGATGTGAAATAACGGTGCTCAACGGTTCACTTTCTCTTCCTGTACAATAAACTAGGTGTCGAACACGCTCCTTGCTCACAGTGCTCCACCAAATATGAGCCAAATGGCGAAGACAACGGTGGTCGAACGTAACTGGCCTCTTTATGTCTGCTGATCTAATGGACCAGGTTTCACAAGCGTACAGCATCAACTTTGAAAAGTCTTTCAAGACGCCTTAAGAAGTTACACAGGACCTATGGACCCGCGCGGTTACTTTTTCAATAAAGTCATCAAGCCGGAAAGAAGAGGACTGCTGAAACAAAATGTTCTCGGTGACGAACGGATAAGCTGAGGGGTGTTATGTATTTCTAATTTTGTCGTATTCTATGCATTGAAATATTTGCTGTTCTAACTTGTGTTCTGTTTTTACAGCTCACACGTCTGAATTATTATTCGAGTAAAGCCTTCTTTTCGGCACTTGCCTTCTTCCTTCATTCCTGGAATAATACATGTGCATTACAGTTTACTCGAGTAATATCACTATTGGCACCATCAGGCACTCCGGTGTCCGATGCTGGACTCCTATCGGACGAGACCGCTAAGTTCGCGAATGGCGGGAATTGGAACACGAGTGATGTGCTTCCATAGATTCAGCTGGGACTAAAAGGATTGGAAAATCCCTCGAGTATTCCTACTTGATCGGATCGTTGAGCCAGGAAACGATAAGGTGCTACGAGGTCTTGATGGATCTAGAACGAAACAAGCGAAACAGATTCAGATAGGAACAATGGGAAAATCCATTAAGTGTCCCTTCTTGAGCGAATCGTTCAGCCAGGAAATGCTAAGGTGCTACGAGGTATGGATGGACATAACCGAAACACCGAAACCACACACTACTCAACTAATCACTGCCCAGGTTCTCAGCACTAGCAGTCCCGCTGTGCTGACACGTGAAGAAGACGCAGAAAGAAACTGGAATATAAAGAGAAAGGAAAGTCATTTAAATGAAGGATAATATAAGAGAGTGAAAATGAACTCAAAGTAGGAAGATGGATATGGTCAGCAGAAAGGTTACCACCCAAGTGCGTCTAACTGACGCTCGAAACCCTTAACCGTAGGTTCACTGACTACACCTTCTGGAAGTGATTTCCAGCGCTCAATAACTCTAGGCGATAACCGAGTTTCCGCTCTGATCCGGTCGGAACGCGGCTTGTTTAGCTTCATGGGATGACCGCAAAGACAGGGCAACCTAGCTAGGTTAAATAGCCAGCTCAAGTCCGGCTCAACCTTCCCTGTTAAAATGCGGTAAGTGAGGATTAGATCTCGAGGCCGTCGGTAGTGCATTGAATACATACACAAGCTTAGTACACGCTTGGAGTACTTTTGTCCCCGTAACCCCTCAACCAACGTAATACTAGTGTTAAAACAACCTCGAGCTCCATTTTGTCATGAACAAGGCAGAGCAAGCACGCCCGGACGCAGTATTTCAAACGGGAGTCGAACGAAAGCTGAGAACAGCTCCAAAGATGTCGGCAGTTAAGACTCCGAAAGCAAGGTGTATTAACCAAAACATTCTGAAACCCCTACTTGTTGCCTTCTTCAAGTTGTCACCAGAGTGCAAAGACGAGGAATGCACGACGATTAGGTCTACCTGGCTGGAGAAATGGGGTGTTGGACCCCACCGAGTACGTATCTCGGAGGTGGTAAAGTTGCTCCTATACGAAGGACGGAACACAGCCTGATTTATGGGCAATAACCAAAAAGTAGACCAGTCCCAGAGTCTGTCCAGTGCATGCTGTATGGCCTCAAACCCCCAGGGACATCTACAACATTCCACAGCTCTATGTCATCAGCAAACAATAGCGATGGTACCCCAAGCTCTCCAGCGAGATCGTTTACGTAGATGGAGAACAGCATCGGTCCAAGCCCTGTGGGACACCGCTAAGGACCGCTTGCCTAAAGGATAAGCTGCGACTCACACGTACACTGCTCTCTTCCCTGCAAGAATGCAGATACCCAGTGAAAGGCGCCGCCAGATATATTGTAGGACCTTAACTTTTGTGATAGCCCCAAGTGGGGTGCCTTATCAAATACTTTCGAGAAGTCGACGAAAAGCACATGTTCTACGAGGTTATTGTCCAAGCTTCACGAGCAATCGACAAATTCATCAGACTCGAAAACCCCTTCCGGAATCCGTGCTGTGCACTTGCATTTGAGAATGTAAGAATAACCTAGAATATCCACCATTACAGTGATTAATCGATTAGTACCGATTATCGCATGGAGTTCGAATGTTCTGGAGTGTGCTAATTTCTGCATGACTAAAAACTACCTGACACCTCGGCCAAAGATATGCGGTGCGACCTAACGGTAAGCGATTAAAGTGTTGCCCTGACGGATGCCTGGTACAGTCAGAGTTCAAGTTCAGTTTGGGACTGGAACGATAGGATGAATCCCGTAAGTGTTCCTTCTTGAGCGGGTCATCGATCCAGGAGTTGATAGGGGTGCTCCGACTTCTTGATGGGTCTAAAATGAAAACACCCGAAAAACACCCTGGCCCACCAATTTAATGTCCACGTTCCTTACATTAGCTGTCCCAGCTGTCAGTTACGTGAAGTAAGAGAGAAAGAAAAAGCGAAGGTAAAGAGTAGGGGAACTCAGT